TGATGAAGATCGAATATATGGAGGTTGGGATGTAGTCTCAGATGAACATTTTGTCAGGTTTTAGTGTGAAAGAAAACCAGTCTCTCCAGGTATTTGTCCATTGTGGAAAGCAAAAGTCCTCCACTCTAGGAAAAATAGTTTATTAGTTTAAGCCAAAAAAAAATTTGGAGACGTTAGCCAAAACAAGACAGCAGATATGTAAAAATTATAGGAAAAAACATTTTAAAATGGTTTAACTGATGTAAAAAAAAACCACAAATTTTTTCAACCTTGATTTCAAACTTTTAACAGCAAAGCAAAAGTTTGCAAACTAAATTTACTTTTAAACCATTTTTTTTATTTTTGCATAAAATTACAGGGCAGAAAATAACTAACAGTAATTTTTAGCTGGCTTTGTTGAAATACTCCATACAGGATCAGAGCGAACCGGTGGCATTTAGTCGATGTATGTTTTAGGTATAAAGTTGGTCTCATCAGACTCCACCTGGGCTTTTTTTTTTTTGAGGGTACCAGGGCTTTTTTGTTGGTCGGGTTGTCTAGTCCTGTCAATGGAGGCAAGCTTTTTTACCTTTTTTGGAGGTCTCTGGAACCCTACAAACAAGGCATACAGGTTTTTTTTTTTTTTTGGTTTAGCTCTTTTTTAACTTTTTGGAAGAACTCTACACAAAGCCACACAATCAAACTCGCGTCCAATTTTTTTTTTTTTAAACAGACAAAATTCCTATGGAAGTTATGTAAAAACAGACTCTAAGATAAGTAGCAAAAATTATTACCACTATTTGTATGTTGTGTTGGTATCAAGGGGAGAGAAAATGTGACAAGTTAGTTTTGTTGGAAAAAAAATTACAACCTTTTTGTAGATCCTGGTTACTCAAAACAAAACAAAACAAAACAAAAATTTTGTGGATTTAGGACAGAATGTATAAAAAAATTTTTAGTATGTCAAAGAAACCTTAGTAAATGTTAGGTGTATTTTCAGGTCTATTTAGTCCTTTGTAGGAATGTTTTTTTCTCTCAACAGTTCCATCAATAGGAATCTGTTGAGACCTTTTTTTTTTATATTTTCGGAAACAATTTTTGTAGGTGTGAAACAATTGAATTATACAATATTACAAGGTGACAATCACCATTGACAATTTACATACATACCAGATACTATTGTTAACATTTTGTACATACCAAAGTTTTACCATTTTTTCAAGTGACAATGCTTTTCTTTTAGTTTTACTTTATTAGGTAAAAGCCAAATAAAACAAATTTATGTAATGTCTTTCCAGGAGGAAAAGGAGAAACTTTGTGGAGTGTCTCAGGAGCTCTACTGAGGTTTCACAAAATTTTTTTGTATCAGTCAAATGACAGGCTACCAAATTTGTACTTGAATTTAGATTTTTGGGAAGCTTTGCCATAGATATCAGAAAATTAACAGAAACAACAATATTTAATCTCTATGAAGGCACCGGCTTAGTTTAGTAGCACAATGTTGACAATCAAACCATAACTTTTTTTTTTTTCATGACTGGAGACTTTTTTTTTTTTTTTTTTTTTTTGGCGCCAAGCTGTTATAGAACAACCCCGATATTAAACGGGTTCCTGGCTGTGGGTCCTCACCCGCGCGCTTTAAAGGGACTTATAAATACTCTACTACAGACACATACAAAAGGGTTAATAAAAGGTTTATTTACAAGAAAAAAAAATAAGGAAAATGTACAACTCAGAAAAAAAATAGGGAAATAAAGTCTTTAATGCGTCCTACCCGATCCGACGACCTGGAAACCCCAAAGTCACTCTCAGAGCTGACCGGACGCTGCTGCTGGCCAAGAGCCCAAAGATGGAGAGCCCCCCAAAGCCCACATGTCTGCCTTTTGTATCCACCTGACTGCTTAACCCCACCCTCAGGTCCCAGCCACCTTCCCTTTGGTGGTGATGGGATTTGGAGTTCCCAGTGTCTTTGGCTTTGACCTGGGGTGGGGGTGGAGTCCACAAAGCCTATATGGAATTTGCTTTGGGACATCCTTTTCCCCCTAACAATACTTAATAAAAACCATCAGCGTTGAATAATTTTACACCACCTGGGGAGTTTCGAAGTTAGTGCACAGAGTTCCTGTATATCCTTTACAGTTTTTTTCTTCCTATAGTGTTTATATTTTGTAAAATCACAATGAAAGGATCAAAACTAGGAAATGATCATTGGTACTATGCTAAATCTTAATCTGTAGACTTTAATTAGTTTTCAGTATTTCTCCTCTTGTTATCTTTTTTTTTGTTGCAGAGTTTAATCGAAAATACATTATATTTACTTGTGTTTCCTAAGACTTCTGCAGTCAGAGATAATTGCTCTGATTTTTCTTGCCTTTCATTACCTTGATACTTTAAAAATACTAGTCAATGTTTTGTACAATGTTTCTTGATTTGGATTTTGTCTGAAGTTTTCTCATTATTAGACTGAGGTTTTGCATTTTTGTGAAAAATACTGCTTTTTACCACATTATGGCAGGGATATACAACATAGATTTTTTTTTAAGATTTATTTATTTATGCATACAAGAACTGGGGTACAGGCCAGAGATGTGGGGGTGAGAGGATTCATCAGAGATAGAGAGGGGAACAGAACAGGCAGATTGATTGAAATACACTGCTGAGGGGAGCAGTTGGCTAGTCAGGAGAGGTCTGCTGCTTCCTGTGGGTAGCTCTCTGGCCAGGGATTGAACTCATCCTGCAGTGGATGTGGATAGCTTCATAGGTTTTGTCTTAACCGCTTGTGCCACCAGGGAGGCCCCAACATATTTTTTTTTTTATCATTAGGCTATTCTTGATTACTTGATAAATACTGTTTGTCAATTATATTTGCCACTTTTTTTGGACACTTCTGTTTGTTTGGTTTTTGGCATGTGCGTAATTATGTTTCTACTACTATTGATACAATAATGTACAAACTTATGTCACTCAAAGGTTTTTCTAATGTTTCTCCTTTCTTCCTACCCTCTTCCTACCTTGATTTTATAACAACCCTTTTCTGTTTTCCATTCTTATAGTCTCGTTTTTTCCAAAATGTCAGATAAAGTGAATTGTATGTATTTAGCCTTTGTGTCTGGTCTTCTTTCATTTAAAAGTGTATTTGCATTCATCCATGATAATGTGTAGATCAGTTGTTCATTCAATTTTACTACTATGTGAGGTAGTATTCCAGTATATGGATGTACCACTGTTTCTTTGTTCATTAGATTTTTTTATCTTATAAATATGAACAGATGAGAGTGAAGTGAAAACAAATTAGAAGAATAATTTTCATTCACTGCTTTGTACATGTCTTTCTTTATGACTGTTATTAGATAACATTTTATTAATGAAATACTCTTGTTTTGCATCCTTGTTAATATTTTGACAATATAGAACTTCTATCCTAAGGTGTAGTCATGATAGCTCTCCCACCATCAAAGCACACATAGTCCTCTGGATGGTATTTTAACTAGTGCAATTATTTTTATTGGAATACTGATCAGTTGAGGGTAGTGTGAACTTTTTATATGCAGAATTAGATATTTCATATGAAATGGCAGTCTTTGATTTTTTACAAAAGGGTGGGTCCTCAGTAATGTATGTTAATAATGACAGTATACCAACAGACACTCTTGTTTTAGTGTAAAGAAGTAATTTTGTCATTGCCTGAGGGCAAGAGATGGGCATCAAATTTAGTTCACCTATACTCAACTTCGAGTTGTATAATTATCTAGATCTCCCATTTCCTAGTTATTGAGTCTCAAATCAGTAACTTTTTCCTATTAAAAACGTCAAAGAAAATTACACGCAAAAAATGGCCAGAAAAAGTAGAACTGATTATACCCAAAAACAAAATAGAGTATAGGAAAAACTCAGTGTTAAATAAAATGATTATTTTGGCATAAGGTGAAATTGAAGAAAGCTTATGTTTCCTAACTATTTTTCCTTAAAATATTAGCAACTAGGTTGGTTTTCTGTTAATTCTATGCTGATAATATTAAGGGTTTGCCATTAATTTCTTATAAAGTGTAGGTTGTGGACTATCTTTATCAATAACCCCTATTATCAGTGTTCTGTGATGATATGCATCCACTTGATCCATGAGTCTATCACTGCAGTGATCCATACATCGAAGACTCCCTAAGTGCTGTTGACACAATATTGTAGCAGTGATCCATGAATTAAATATGCTTCAGATCTGAGTCATTACAAGTTTAATAGGAGAAATGCACCCAATTCCACTGAAAAATGCCAGCTTTGACTCTGATCAATTCTACCATAAACACATTCTCAGTAATGAATATTCCTTCTGAACCATCCCTGCTTATTGAAGTCTTCGACTTCATCATCATTCAGATTCCCATTTATATTGACTATTTCAAAACTCTTTGAGTGTCACAGAAGAGATCTATGAAATAATTGCATAATAGTATCCACACAGATGTAATTCTTTTGCCAATAATTGAAAGCTCTATTTTATCCTTTTTAAGGACTGGGAATAATAAGTACTCAATAGTCTTACAATGAGAGAAAATTAAAATTTTATTTAGGTCATTATTCAGTCCATCCTTCATTATAAAGAGTTCATGAAGTTATTGTCATGGCAGAGTGAACACAGGAAAGGTGACAATGTTCCCTGGTACTAAGCATTTATTTCTTTTTTTACATAATTTTCCCTTTACGTAGATTAAAATTTTCATAGTACCTATTATGCAAGATAATAGTAATAGTTTCTCAAATATTTATAAGAGTTGCTACATATATTAGAATGACACATATTCTTTGCTGAATACATACTGGGCATGATAACTAAAGAGAAATGACACTGATTATGGAGACAGAAAATTGAAGGAAAAAGATACAAATGAATAATGATTATCTGAAGGAATAGCCTTGAAAATAATTCAATTTCAGATATTCAGATGAATATCATCTGAATATCTGAAATTGAAGGAGAACTGAAGAGAATAGTAGAGGAACAGAAGCGAGAGGATTTTAGACAAGATCATAACTGGCAGGGGAGATGCCATGATTAAGAAGAAGGTGGTTTTCCTGGGGCGAGGCTTATCCATTGCTCCCCAGGTGAGATGAACTCTGTGATTTTCCCAAGTGCAGGAAACTCAGCTTGTAATTTGTGGTAGTGGGGGACTGCTTTTGTGCTCTCCCCTATGGAAGTGGAGAGAGAGAGAGAAAGAGAGAGAGAGGAATTTAGATAAGCTCAATAGCTTCAATTTAATCAATGAACCAGGGATTCAGTTGGACTTTGTGTAGACGTGAGAGCCTGAAGAAAATGAAAAAGAATTTGGGATTCAAATTATGAGGTGATTTATCATCTTTTCCTACCAGAATGTCTATTCAGTCCTTTCCCAAGGCAACTGACACCAGTACTGTCTTGTCTGCTCTTCTTTCAAGCTGCAGCTTTCCATCCCTCCAGTTCTTGAAACAAAACAAAACAAAAAAACCCATAGCTCTCAGCTACTTTTAAATTTTAAAGTAATTCTACTTCTCTACTTTTTTTTTCTTTTTACCTTTTCTGATTCTGTCATTATTTTTTGTTGTTGTTCCTGTCCTCCCTCTGCCTTTTCTTTACTTTGTCAGAATCATTGCATCTGGAAAATTTCTGAGATTGTGTGTTTAGGTGGAAGATATTTCTGTGATGCAGCTGCATGTCTATCAATCACTGGACACCAGGGATGAATCTGCTATTGTAGCTGATGGGTCTGCCCTGCCCCTTTAGTGCCAAGTAGCATAAAGAGTTGAGGGAGAGAACAGAACTGGGATGTGTAATGTGAGGAGGAGGGACAAAGAGCAGCGATGGAGAGCAAAGGTATTGATATTGCTGGGACCATGAGCCCTGAGATCACCATGTTATGGTCAGCAGGGGTGGTGTGATCCCAAAGGTAAGGTTGAAAGACAAGGAGGTTGAAGCCTGGAATAAGGACGAGAAAGAAGAATGGCAGGCCTAGTAAGAAGAGCTGAATGTGAATGCATAGAAGATTGAAAAAAAATCTCTTAACTGCTCATTATTTCTCAGAGAATTTGCAGTGTGCTTTCACATACATTAGCTCATTCATTTTTCACAACAACCCTGTAAGGTAAATGCTGAGTGTCTTGGTTATGAAATTGTCAATTTAGGTAGTTTTAGCAACTGAAGCTCCAAAATTCAGGGGCTACCTGATACTAAGTGTATGCCCTGATGGTCGAGGATGGTTGCAGGAAGAAATCTCAGCAGTGATAGAAGGCGATAATCACTAGGAAGGGATGCAGGACAGATAAGGGGCGAAGTGGAGAGTGTAATTCACATGTATAAAATACTTCATTATCATTAAAACACATGTTTTAAAATTTATTAAAAAGATAAAGGTATCTCCTTCTGTAGAGCTAATTACATTATTTGTATACTTATGGATTGACTACTCACCAAGATAGTGAAATGTTTTCCTCAGCTTGATTAGACATTAGACAGCTTTCTTTTCTAAATAGAGGCCTCTGACCTCCATTTTCTTAAATATTTACTTTAGAAAACTTATGAAAATAATTTCCTTCTCTGTATCTTTGAGATATAAATCTCCATGCCTCTTGCAAGTTAAAAAATCCAGGAATATCTTCCTCAAGGACCTTTGAAATGCCGTTTTCAAGAAAGATAACTCCAGTCCCTGAGGGAGGGTGTGGCCATAACTTGGCCATTAGCACACACAGATGGTCTAATCACAGTGGCCACCCTACCTCCTAATGCCCACTACTTTTTCAACTAACTTACTCCAGTGCTATCCTACTGTGGTTCCAGAAGAACTGAGTAAGTCAGTCTCCCTTATTCAGGGGTCTTGGTCCTTATTGCAATAGTTTAAAATCAAAGTCTTCTTTGCCATTTTAACTCCATCAGGTATAATTTTTTTAGACATTACTAACCCTAGATGTGTGGCCATTTGTAAAAGTAGGTACAAAGTATTCATCTATCAAAACAAAAACTTCATTAAAATAAATGGTGATATATATGTAATAATTTAGGTATAATCTTCTTTGGAGGTAAAGTATAGTTAAGATGATCTTTGAGGTTAGTAAATATTTTGATGTTGAAAGTTAACCTCACATATGTTAAAACAGAGCTGTTCCTTCACTGTGCAAAGAAACACTGTTTTAGACAGACATAAAATATAGTTTAAGGGAAAAATGTGATCAAGGAAAACACTAAGCAGATGAAGTTTATTTTTTTTCCTAATGCAATTTTAAATAAGATATAACACAAATGCAAATAATGAATGAAATGAAATGAATGAAATGAGAATGAATATAAAATAAGATGGAAATATATGCAGAGTCTGGTGTTATATGAAAATCATGCCATGAAGTTTATACCATTAAATGAAAGAACATCAATTTGACCTCAAGTTTTCAAGAACTAAATCAAAAAGTCAAAAATGGTCAGTTACAAGATCCCCAGTATCTGGGAAAAAAAGAGGCAAGCATTAAGACAATGAGAAATAAAGATTTTTAGATCTGGAAGAGATTTAAACACATCTACCTACCCACCTACCCACCCACATTTATTCACACACATGTATAGCATGTAGTCTAGTAGGCAATATTATTAACTACTCCCTGAGTTAAATACAGAAAAATATTTTATAAGATTATTTTCTTATGTCTCCTGATACAACCTTAATGAAAATATTCTAGATTTCATTTCTGTAAATGTGATCCTATAAGGGACAAGATGCTACCACCTACTTTTCTAAGAGTCTTATTCTATCTGTAATTTATTTTTCTAAGAGTCTTATTCCATCTGTAATTTCGCCTACCTAGAAAAATAAGTGAAATACAAGTTCTTAAGAGGAGGAGTTTCCACAAGTTGAAATTTTTCATGACAAAGTGTAAACCAAGTAAGGTTATATTCTTGGGCAAATTCCTGTGACTGCTAATTTTAAGATAATTGCGTGCTGGTCAAGATTAAGTGCAACTGCGGTTTCAATCTTAAATTTTTAAAACAGAAAACTTATTTTTCACTGATTTAATGATAATGTATGTCATGTTTTAAGACAGGGAAAGTAAAACATAAAATAAAAATCATCCAAATTCCATTTCTTATGGGAGACATGGCAATATAGTGATAAAAATATTGTTGATACTTTGGGGTTGTACTTACCATAAACTCATTGTTTACAGAATAATACGGCAGTTAGGGGTTAAATTGCCAGAGTTCAAGACTTGAATCTGTCCTTTATGCCTTATGGGAACTTGAGTAAACTATCTCAGCTATCAAACCTGCTTTGTTTCTTTGCTTTAGTTTTGTTTTTTATCCCATAACCTGCCATTCTTGCCTTATTAGTTCAATCCTTTCTTCTTTGTCTCTGGTTATTTTAATATATTTATTTAAATGCCTATTTATTTTTATTCTACTTCTTAAAATTTGGGTTTTCAAAAGGATTGTCTTGTTGACTCCCTTGTGATTTGTTTCTTATGCAATTTGTGACTTTTCTATATTCTCAGGTCTAGCATGGTTTCTTTCATGGTGTTTCTCTGTGCTCTGAGTTGTAGATACATTTCAAGGGAGAAGTTTTATGTTTCCCTGCAGGGAAGTATGCATTTTGCCTTAGTTAGGTCATAAGGTTTCCATCTGAGTTGTGTAATTTCAGATCCAATATTAGTGGATGATGAAGCATCGGGACTTGATTTCTTGTACTAGATTCTTTCTTCTGACAATGGTTCCTGGTGAGTAGCTTAGCTTCCTTGCCATTTTCTACAGCTTGTGAGTAGAGATACCTCCTCCCTATTTTATAGATAGATGGTACATTGTACTCCCTGGATTTATACAGAGAGCTTTTATCCAGTTCTCTACTGTGTATAGGTCTGAGGCACATCTCATTTAGTGAAGACATTAATAACCATTCCTATAAGGGTGTCTCAGCTTCAATAACCCCAGGTTCCTTCCAGCTTCAGTGTCATTTCTCTCTGCAGTTTTGAGTTATCTCTTTGTTTCTTACTTGTATCGATTTTCCTTTATTTTGCACAGTTATACTTTACCTATATTTTCATTTGCTTGGTGGCGTTGGCCAGGGTGAAGGTGAGGTGAGGCTTTGGAGGAGACTTTACGCTATAACTGAATCTACTATTATAACTGAAAATTGATTTAACCTATCTAAAGACTATTTACTCATCATATCTTTGTCAGAAAGATTTTTTTTTGATAATTCAGTGAGATAATCCATGTAAAGTTCTTAGGTTATGCCTGGTACATGTAAAATCCCTGATAGATATCAGCTTGTATTATCATTAGCTAACCTACATTTAACATTCTTTTTTCTTTCCATTTTATAATCTGACATTTATTTCTGAATATAATTTACAAATAAACTTGTGTGTTAACTTGCTACTCTTAGTACCACAAAGTCATCTCTTTTGCCTTAGCTTTTTTTTTATATCATTTACGGTAAGCTATACTTAGTATAAGTCAGTTATACTTGAGAATGTTTATGAATGAAAAACATTAAAAGAATTAAGAACAAATAGTGGAGTCCTTATTTCACTGATCTTTATCTAATTTGGGGAAAATCACTTCTCAAAAGCAGCAATTCTGCCTGATAAATTATTTCCCTGTCTAAACAAAAACTGAAAAATAAAAGTGAAATTGTGAAAAAACCTATAGGTTTACTAGACATTATGTGCTGGAATATTTGACAATCAAGACTAAATCAGGGCCTCCCTGGTGGCGCAGGCAGTTGAGAGCCGCACCGTGAAGCTGTCCACAGCCTCTGCAGCATGGGTTCAATCCCGGCCAGCTGGCGAGAATCCCATATGGTGCAGCTGACCTCTCCTCCCTCATCCGCTGCTCCCCTCAGCAGTGTATTTCGTCAGTCTGCCTATTCTGCTCCCCACTCTGTCTCTGGCGAATCCTCTCACCCTCCCGCACATCTGACCTGTACCCCGGTTCTTGTATAAATAAATAACTCTTAAAAAAAAGACTACATCAATAGGCTAACATTTTAAAGTATACTTTAGTAAGTGTATAGTATATAAACAATTAGGGAAGTTTGTGGAGAAGTTGTCCAACATACATTTAAGGTAGAAGATACAAATATCCACCTAAATTTCCTGTATTTCTATTTTTTACAGAATATTTATTAAATTATCTAACAGAATTCCTCAGTTGTCATTTTCAAAGTCCTTTGCTG